TATATTAGGCTGGGACTTTCTCTGCACTCATCATGCCGTCATCGACTGTGCTCGCGCGGAAGTGGAGTTCACGCCGTTATGCGACGCTGCTTCACTCGACTCGTCCCTTTCACCTGCAAAAGTTTTCGTTGCCGCCGACACTTCAATACCCCCGTTCTCGTCCGCCCTTGTCCCGCTTTCCTGTGACGTCTCTAGTGGCTCAACTGTTCTTTTTACGCCTTCTGAAACCGCTGTTCGCCGCAAGTGCTTCCTGATTCCTTTCGTCGTTCTGAATATTCACGATGGATCAAGTCCAATTTATGTATCAAATCCGTTTCTCTCGCCTTCCAAGTTACTGTGCGGAGAGTGCCTGGGCTTTGCCGATGACATTGATCCCTCGAGTGCACGTGTAGTTCCTGTCCACTCGACTACGCTACCTATTGATGCTGTTGATTGCTGCGCGTCATCCTCTTCCCCATCATTCACCGACGCAATTTCGCGCTGCATCGACACCAACCTTACGGCCCAGCAGCGCACCGACATCATCGCCCTCCTCGAGCGCTTCCGCGCCAGCTTCAACCACCAGCAACTGACTTTGGGCCGTGCTTTCGCAGTATCTCACGAAATCGACACTGGCCTTCACGCTCCTTCACGTCAGCGTCCGTATCGGGTATCGGCACCTGAGCGTCACATAATCGCGGAACAAGTTGACGACATGTTGAAGCGAGGTGTTATTGAGCCCTCTAACAGCCCGTGGGCCTCCCCAGTTGTTCTAGTCAAGAAAAAGAATGGCTCAATAAGATTCTGCGTCGACTACCGCCGGTTGAATAGGATCACGCGCAAAGATGTTTACCCGCTACCTCGCGTAGACGATGCCCTTGACTGCTTACAAGGCGCGGAGTTCTTCTCGTCACTAGATCTGCGTTCAGGTTATTGGCAGGTTCCCAAGGCTGAGGCTGATCGCCCCAAGACGGCTTTTGTTACCCCTGATGGCTTATATGAATTTAGCGTCATGCCATTTGGGCTCTGCAATGTGCCTGCCACTTTCGAGCGCATGATTGACAACATCCTCCGTGGCCTGAAATGGCAGACATGTCTGTGCTATTTAGACGATGTCGTAATATTTTCAAGCGACTTTTCAACGCATCTTCAGCTGCTCGAGACAGTGCTTACTTGCCTCACCGCCGCCGGTCTACAGCTCAACTTGAAGAAGGGCTGCTTCGGCTCTCGACAACTCCTAATTTTTGGCCATGTTGTATCTAGAGATTGCATTCTTCCGGATCCGACGAAACTCCGTGCCGTTGCCGAATTTCCCAAGCCAAATACCTTAAAAGAACTTCGCAGCTTCCTCGGTTTATGTTCATATTTTCGTCGTTTTATTCGCAACTTCGCCTCCATCATATCGCCCTTGACTGACCTTCTTGCCGGCAACAACGACCTTTCTAGTTGGTCGTCAGCTTGTGATGATGCATTTGCCACACTCCGCCACCTTCTTACATCACCTCCTATACTGCGACATTTTGAACCTCTTGCGCCGACGGAAATACACACGGATGCTAGCGGAGTTGGCCTCGGTGCTGTGCTCGCCCAGCGTAAACCTGGATTTGATGAGTACGTCGTCTCTTACGCCAGCCGTGCACTCACAAAAGCAGAAGCCAACTATTCAGTCACCGAAAAAGAGTGTCTAGCCATCATATGGGCCATAGGCAAGTTTCGACTATATCTTTACGGGCGCCCATTCAGCGTGGTTACAGATTATCATGCATTATGTTGGCTCTCCTCGTTAAAAGATTCCACCAGCCGGCTTGCCCGTTGGGCGCTTCGGCTGCAAGAGTACGACATCCACGTCGTTTACCGATCTGGCCGAAACCATTCCGACGCAGACGCTTTGTCCCGATCACCTCTATGATGTAGTGACAAGCGGCCGTTTTCGCCTGCCCCCGACGTATCTGCACTTAGTGTCAGTGACATGCGACAGGAGCAACGAAAAGATCCTTGGATCGCTTCACTTATCAACTTGTTGAATCGAACTTCCTCGTAAAATATCCCTAGAGGTATGCGCCGTCAAATACAGCGCTTCGTTATCAGAGATGGTTTGCTATACAGACGTAATTATCTCTCCGAAGGACGCCAATGACTTCTAGTCATTCCCAGACGTCTCCGCTCAGACATATGCGCCTCCTTCTACGCCGACCCACAATGCGCCCATGCTGGAGTGTTAAACCCGCCTGTCCCACCGCTACTATTGGCGTGGAATGTATCGCTTCGTCCGTCGCCACGTACGTTCCTGTCTCGCTTGTCAACGCCGGAAGAATCCCACTCCAAGTTCTCTAGCTCCACTAGAACCCTTACCATGTCCTGCCCGACCGTTTGACCGTGTTGGTGTTGATCTGTACGGACCTCTTCCGATTACACCGGCTGGAAATCGCTGGGTAATCGTCGCTATCGATCACCTTACGCGCTACGCAGAAACTTCACCACTCTCTTCTGTGTCTGCCAGCGACGTCGGTCGTTTCATGCTGCATCAGATCATTTTACGTCACGGTGCACCTCGTGAACTCCTGAGTGACCGAGGGCGTGTGTTTTTGTCGGACGCTGTCGAATCGCTTCTCAAGGAATGCGAAGTCATTCATCGCACCACCACCGCGTATTATCCTCAAACAAATGGCATTACAGAAAGATTCAATCGTACATTAGGTGATATGCTGTCGATGTACGTCGCAACCGATCACACCAATTGGGACAGTATTCTCCCTTTTGTAACCTACGCGCATAATACTGCTGTCCAGACCATCACTGGTTTCTCGCCATATTTCCTCCTTTATGGTCGCGCGCACTCTTGCACGCTAGACACCATCCTTCTTTACCACCCGGATGTTGCTGAGTCGACGACGATGTCACAAGCTGCTAAATACGCGGAAGAGTGTCGTCAGCTTGCCCGCTCCTTCACAAGTGCTGAACAGCAACGCCAGAAACACCACCGCGATAGCCCGACACCTCCGGCTTCTTATGCATTGGATGACCTTGTCTGGCTTCGCATCCCTTCAACCAGCCCTGGTCTCTCAACGAAACTGATGTACAAGTATGACGGACCTTACCATGTGGTTAAACAAACTTCACCCGTCAATTACATCGTGGAGCCGCTTGAGCAGCCCCATGATCAACGACGCCGTGGACGTGAGACCGTCCACATGGACCGGCTAAAACCGTATTACGATCCCTCTATTGTCTCCTGCCCATGAGTCGCCAGGATGGCTCTTTTCCGGAGGGGAGGAAAATGAAGTGAAGAAGATGAATGGTACTCAGAAGGGCAGGGGGTATGACTCAGTCGGTGAAGAAGGCGACGTTTGGTTGGGTGGGGACTCAGGCTAGTTCCGCCATTACCACTTGACGTGTCGTGACCGCTCTCCTGTTTTATAAAAGAGTGCAACTCTAAAACGCCTCATTATAAAACAAACATAGCGCAGAACATAGCTACTTATAGCACAGAATAATAATATCACTAGAATAATAATAATAATAATAATAATAATAATAATAATAATAATAATAATAATAATAATAATAATAATAATAATAATAATAATAATAATAATAATAATGATAATAATAATAATACCTAATGACTATGCAGACGTATTACTTAGAAAGTTCGCATGAAGTGCATGCTTCATGGCCAATGAAAAATTTCTAGCCTCTTTCACATTGGATTGGGATGCTTGTCTTAACGAGATCGGCTTTTCCTTGCGGTCTACGGTCAATCGCTCGACAGGGTACACGCCCGCTTTCCTCAACTTTGGGAAAGAGCTGCCTAACCCCATGGACCGCATCCTACGGGCGGGGGCGGGGCAAGCGCCGTGAAGGTCAGCCCGTCTGGCTACGCAGCGGAACTGTGCTCACGGATGGACGCGGCCATCGACCTGGCGCGTTCCAATCTGGCAAAAGCACGAGCTGGTCAGAAGGCTCAATACGACCGGTTGCATCGGGATGTCTGTTACGATGTCGGTGATCTCGTCCTCAGGCGCAATCACGTCTTGAGTGACGCCGCCAAAGGCATCTCGGCCTCCCTTTCGGCCAAATGGTTGGGTCCATACCGAGTGCACACCAAAGTGTCGCCCCTGGTATACAAGCTGGCTGACTCCCAAGGGAGACCAGTCGGCGGTCCAGTTAACGTCTCCGACCTCAAACCTTTCGTTGCCCGCAGCAACGACTTCGGTGAGGGGCAGGTGGTCGCCGAACCGCAGGGAAACCGGGATAAGGCTTGTTCCAAACCACGCCACCGGTACAACCTGCGAAAACGCACGTCGGCTGATTTTCGCCCCGTGCCTGTAGTGAGTGGGACGTTATCCCCTCCACGTAAGGGAGCGGAGATTATAGCTGCTGTGCGATTGCCCATCCAGCAGCAACAGTAACGGCTACCTGGCGAGCTTTCTCACTCGTAACACCGTTACACGTGCTGCGCGCGGAATAACCACCCGGTTCTTAGCACTCCCGGCTGCTCGAGAGAGAAAAGCCCTTTCCCCGGTGGCTCACTCTCTTACTGGGTATCTTCCGCGTAGTCGGCGGGAGAAGGGAAGCGTGCGCCCTATTGGCTCACGCAACCTTCAATCCGACGGAGTAGGCTCTCTTTATTGGGCCAGGCTGTCGCGCCCCCGGGGCTGCACCTTCAGTTGCGTTTCGGCTTTCACCGACACCCCAGCATTCATGATGCCCTCCTCGATGGCCAGTTTCTCCAAGAAGAAGCCCGAGAGACCAGCCGCGTGCTCGGTCGTTCTGCAGGCACCGGCTGCGTCCATAATGCCTCCGTCGAATGCTCCCCCGGCCCCGGCTAACAAGACACCGCCTCATCGGGAAGTCGCTACGTGGACGTTCCAAGGCACTGAGGCCCCGGTCGCCTTCGTGTCGACTCGTCGCTGGTCCAAGCAACGCAAAATCGGGGTGGGGTTAGACCCGAGTCCGTCCCGCGTCCTTTCTGCGGATGCACCCTTTCGGACCCTCTCGACACTTCCGGAGGTGCCTCGATGCGGCCTGTTCCCGAGGCCTCCTACTGCGACGCTTGTGGTGTCCTGCTGGTGCACGAGGCTACCCACCTCCGTTTGAGGGTTCACCGAGCGAAGTCCGGCGGTGCCCCAGCGGTCATGTCCACTCCGGCGGTGCCGCCTGGCCCGGGCCTTCAACCTGCCCTTTCGACCGCCTCCGTTCAGGCGGTCGTGGTGGCGCTCATCACGGGCTCTTCATTGAAGTCGGCCATCGCTGCTGCGGTGTCCGCCGCCCTCCCGCGGCCCCAGGCTCCAGCTGAGACGCCGCCTAACGAAGACACCGGGGCGCCTGATGATCTCGTGGATGGCATGGACCTGGACCTCAGTTTTTTCGGTGTCGGTGGATGCTGTCATTACGGCGTCTTTAGGGCGGCCTCGGTCTTAGGAGACGGGGATGTGGGAATCGAGAGCGCCCTCCTACTTGGTGCCTCATTTCCCAGCTGCCGCACGCGCGCCACCAGCATAGCCCGGGCGCGCATAAGCACTGGCATCCGCCAAGATGGCTGCCAGGGCACCTCTTGGTCTGGGCCAGTCAACGGTCGGCTTCTTCCCGCGCTGGCGTGTCCGGGCACGCTACCCTGGTGCGCGGCGCGGGCCTACGTCACAACGCAGCGTCATTTCTCATTGGGCGCGCGTGACATCCTCCTCTCCTACGAGCTGTGTTGCGCCCGACGATTCGCTCGTCGCAGCAGATGCTCTCAGGCCTTCACGAGGGGTCGACGCGCTGCTAAGTAGGCGGCTTCTCGTTCGGGCGTTCGACTTCGGCCCTTGTGCGGGAGTCGTAGCGCCCTAGGCAAGCGTACTTGCTTGGTCTTGCGGAGTTCCCTATACGGCTTGCAAGCCCGTGAGTGTCGCACTGTGCTGCATCTTGGGTTAATAAAACCGTTGTTGTTGTTATCCTGCCTCGTGCGTGGTTTCGGCGCCGTGCTGGAGAAAACGACGAACCCGGCCGCAACATCTTCGCACGCAGCGGCAGTGAAAGACGTCGCATCCCTATACGGTTGCGCTTAGTAGGTAAGCCTTGTGCAAGCCTATCTCCAAACCATACACTAAAATATTTAGAAATATTCTATTCTACAATATTCTATGTGCCGCACTACAACGCTGCAACAATGCAAAAACATGAAGTGTGCAATTCAGTGTGGCTGTTCAAGCCCTTACCGAAGCAGATAAATATTTCTAAAGCCTGATTATATACGATATACAAGTATAGATATAAAAAACCTAACATGGTATAATAAAGCGCAAATTGCTTACCAAACAAGGTACATATAATTTATTTGGTTAGCTGCACGATTTAAAAAAAAACACATGTCACGCCGCTGCAATGCACAGGCATCAAAGGGGTACTGATACAAATTGAAATATTTTTGAATTGTTGCTTTTAATAGCGTATTTACTCGTATTATAAACGCACCCCTAACTTCAGTCGTTGAAATAGATTTTTTTTCCGCGTAATGAACGCGCCCCATTTGTCCACTGCAGTCCCACTAACTCATAACCTGCACCTCCGTGCCCGTTTATCTGTTTCGTTTATTGTTATTATTATTATCACTATTATTATTATTAATATTCCATCCCTTTCGACCACCTCGGCTCGCACACCCCTCCCCCCCCTTTTTTTTTCACCCGCTGCCGCGCGCATTAAGGTTTATCTGCGCGGCACATCCCCCCTCCCCCGTCCTTTTTTTTTCTTTTTTTTACCATGGGCCACAGCGGGGTTTACGAACACTGCGACTGTTGAGACATTGCAGCTGATAAGCACACAGTGAGCGAAGGTCATGAAGCTACCGGCGCCAAGGGACGGTGGCTTCCTGAAAATACGAGTATCGCGGGCAAATCGGGAGTTGTCAGGCAGGCACGCACTTCTGCACTTCGTTGTTCGCATGCATGAAAGCTTACCTTTTTAGCAATATCAGGAAATCCAAAAGCGTTCTCCATGTAGCTCCCAGCGTACACTCCGTTGAATGCTTGATCGGAAACACTCTGCTTGCGGTGTGCACGAGCTTCAACAAAAACCGTTGACAGAGGACACACACTTCACCGCACCGAAGTTGTGTACTTGCCCACGCGCCACTGATTGCACAGACACGTACTGTATCTACTGTAAGCGCGAGTTAAACACTGGAAGCTGTAGAAGTAGATGCCCAGGACAAAGCAAGTGAATAGTAAAACAATCCACCACCGTCAGCCTGCAGCAAACGCGCAGACAACATGTTACCACCCAATTCAAAGTCTGCCTGTTGACGATGGCGATGCGCAGTTGCCCTAAGACCTGAAGACCGAAACGGAAATTCGTAGCAGCACCATTTTATAATATAATTTCGAAGCTATGTCAAGCCACCAAGATACAGTCTAACATTTTATGCTTTACAACATATTTACTTGATAGCGGAGCTTCAAAGCCTTTTTTTTTTGCCACTGACGTGTGCAGTCGGCAAATGCGTAGCCTTCGTGATGCACATTTTTTTCCCCCAGTGAGGCGCAATTGATGGTATTTCGACAATTTGGAGTCCACTTTGTTACCTGTGCATCATAGGTATAAATAGGAAGTTAGAGAAGGATGAGGAGATTTTTCCGTATTTCACACTTGTTTTGGTTCTAGATTTGGCCCATTTTGAATAAAGAAAGCTTCTCAAACGAACATAAGGGGGGGCCCTTATGTTCGTTTGAGAAGCTTTCTTTATTCAAAATGGGCCAAATCTAGAACCGAAACAAGATGAACCAATGCTACCTTGACATATACATGCTATCAACGTTCTTGTAGAACAGTAATAATTATATATTATGTTTTAATTTTACTGTTTTAGAGAAAAGAATAAAGTATGTATGAGCCACTTGAGTGTCGTTTGAGGTACTTTCGAACCAGGATTTGGCCCATACCGAAAAAAAGCTCTTGATTTGGATCCCCACTTATGCAACCACAGGCAAAAATGAACATACATATGGATCAGGCCCTCTTCTTTTCTCTTTCTATCCCCCTCCATACATATCCTAGCAACACCCCTGCTGTGCTATCAGCTTCTTTTAAATAACACTCTACCATTCAGCAAGAACCTGGGGACTATGCTTTTTATACCGACAAGGTATGAATGATACTTGCTTTTATTTCAAGTCTTCAATTTCGTGTGAGCATACGAATGTGCGATTGTCAGGGCATTGTAATGTCATAGTAAGAACTGTCAATTACAATACTGCAATTAGTCAATTGCTCTCCCTTCTTGCAGCACGAGTACAGTGCGCTAGTGTCGTCTGCGATCATTCACGTGTATATTATACTACGCGGAAGCGTTCATATCAAGGAAGTAAAAAATAGCAGTAAGTGCCCACATATTGGTGCGTCAGATCGGACGAGTTCACTCGTGCTTAGTGGATGTGCGCCAAGCTTGTACTGTGGTGCGGCATGCATGCACAGTAGCTGCATCAGAGTAAGCCAGTTAATTGTGAACATGCCTAGTTCCATGGCAATGCGAACGCTGCAAACAGTCAATTTGAGCCGATCAATGTTCATTGATATAAATATCACTCACTGAATAAATCAGCTACTTGTGGTTTGATGCGAAATACTTCAGTGTGAGGAAATCTGTGGGCCCCATTGTAAATAAAACAGGACGTCTGGTACGAAAAACTTAGGGTGATTGCAAATGAAAAAGCGTGAACGATATCCTGCCGAAAACCTTGTGTAAACGTTTCATGTTATGTTTAGGCGCAACATAGTCTCTTTTACTGATGTCTATGTGAGAATTAGTGATGAATGAACAAATTAGTGGCAGCAAAATGTTTTTAGTAAGAATCCCAAGAAGTCAACCCATGAATTAAGTCGTTGAACATGTGAGGAATCTTCTGAATAATGTAAATAGGGAGTGGTATAATAAATATGATATATAACACGATATGTTTTGGCGAATGAAACGTGAAATGAAAACAAATGCCGAAACATTGATCTTTTCACCGGAACTTTGGCATACGGTTTGATTGAATCCGTTGAGATGTGATATGCATTGATGCTCTAAACTATATACACATATGATAGATGTAACAATCAAGGAAACACTCTTGGGTGTAGTTTGCGAACATACACGTTTATTACACCTATAGTTATAAATTTATTTATTTATTCAGATAATACTGCAGGCTAAGAATAGCCCAGGCAGGAGTGGGCGTGGTACAGTATGAAGATATGACCGAAAAAAATGAATGTACAAAGGGTGTAATTACGTAAATTACGCCTGTTCAAATGAATTTAGTAGAATTAATAGGTGTAAGACGGGTGTTTTATTAAAAAATGCACCCTTAAGGGTGCGAAATGGTTTGCAGTGTGCCGAGTCGATAAAGTGTCCCCTTGTGGTTCACACTTGTGATCCTATCCAAGGGGTCAGCACTTGTTTCTGTGTTCTGGCAAGTTCCCTGCTCATGAAATAGTCTGTGCCTGTGTCTACCAAAGCATTAGTTTCGTAGCCGTCTATAAGTACCGACAAATCAGAAGCGACATTACCGTTTCTGAACATAGTCTCGTGTCCATGATCACATTTCTGAAAAGGCACTGGAGGTTGTTTTTTTTGCGTCGGCAGTGGCCTTACCTTCACGGGTCGCTGATTCTAGTTTTCCCCAATGTGGTCTTTGAGAAAGTAGCCTTGGAAAGTTTTAAGCTGGACGTGGACTCAGTGACCGATACCTCAGTGGCACTGTCGACCGATACTGATGCTGTTGCGAGGAGAGAGTACCTTGATGCGTTAACAAGTCCTCGATTTCAAAAGGTTGTTCCCCTTCCTTGGACAAGCAGCCTTTATGGGAAAACTCGGAAGTTTCGCTCGGCACTATTCACACATCTGGTAAAGATGGCCAGCTTCGCCGCAGTGATAACAAAGTGGAATATGATCAGGAGTGCGTGGGATGACGTGAAACGAGGTTTCGGTGGATGGGTGGTTGCTGTGGCGAAATAGGGTCCAGGGCGACGAAAGAAGGGTCAGAGGTGCCTCTCAGCACCTCGGCGTACGAGACTGTTGGCTGCATCAGAACCGGCGCTTGAAACGGCTCTGCATGTGGCTGCTGCTCGCGCACTGCCTGCCTCACTCCCTCATTTTAACAAGTGCCGCGAACGACGAGACTGTTGAAGGGTTGCCGCGGAGCTTCTGGAGCTCTTCTCGAACCACAGATTGAATTCGCTCTCGTAACGCGTTGATGCCATTCGCAAAGACTGCTGAGACCGCGTCAATAGATGCGACGTTTATATCCCGATTGTAGTACCTCGCTCGCTGTCGCTGTCGCCTCGGTGCGAAATTCCGTGACGTTCTGCGTAAGGCATCAGAGCAAACCAGCAAAAATCTTCTGGTTCACACCACGCATAAGGTGCCGAAGTGTGTTCTCGCTCATATTGTCATCAGATTGGGTATATAAGCGGTACGTCTTCGACATACATTGCGA